TGCTTGATTGATGGTTCTGCCTTTGAAGCCAACAACCCAGGGTATATATTCTCGGGCAGTGGACCGAGGGAAAAGCCTTACACTCACTCTAGGATTGCAAAAAAGCAGCGTCTTGAGTCAACATAAAAAACTGTCATTTCAAATACCAATTTGAGAAATGCTCGTAATGCAAAGCCCATTTTACTTATGCTACATGCTCTGCTAAGCAACCGTTATTGATTTTTACACTAATAGTCCATGCAATACCTCAACAAATATTTATTAACTGGCTGCTATGTATTAGATACTGAGCTAGGTGTGGGAAATTGAACAGAGACCAAGACAGATTGAATTTCTGACCTAATTGTATTTAGTTTTGACAACTGTTAATTGTTAAATTGTTTATATTATTAGGACAAGCTGAAAATTTTAATTTGTCTTTGAAAGGTAGAAATAAAGATCGTTGTATTTTTATGTGTGCATAGGACATCTGAGAGAGAATGATGCCATGCTATTTTTCTCGGTAGTAACATACTAGTTACAACAAAGAATTACAGTTTTGGCATCTAGAGTTATTACACAAATGAGGTGTTCAATGTTCTTGTTCATGTCACTAATTTATACTAACCTACACAACCTCTGTGCCCTAATATTAATAAAATGTTTAGCTTATCCTTTAATTTTACATAAATATGGCCTTTTAAATGTTGTCTGTGGAATGGAAGGTTATAAAAATCCAATATGTTAAATTATATTTAATTTTAAAATTGAATATTCAATTTTATATGTACATAGATATTTACATAAATGACGATATTTTGAGTATTCTAATGGCCAGCGTCATTATTCTTTTGGGCATAAGGTGACGATGAATTATGAAAGTGATGCCTAGTGGTCTGAAAGTCTGTCGCGCTAAGATTTTTGTGTTTGAGAACAGAGGGTCGAGCACAGAGTGGGGACTGTTTTGAAGAGGGTGGGGTGCATGAGAGAAAGAAAGAAATTCGATGCAGCAGCACGTGGGCTTTGCTTGTTGCTTGGCCTGAGGGGCAGGAAACCAAAAACGTTAACATTAAGAGATTGCCTGTGGAAGCTATTGGCTAACTGTAAGGGAAGAAGCGCAGGGTTCCAGAAGTATCTAACAGCTGTAAAGTAGAAGGTACAAAGGAACCTCCCGAAGAATAGAAAAAGGGCGGGAGAACATTTGACTAGCGGTGCCGTTTAGAAATCCTAAATCTTTACATTCTCCCATTCACGTTGGAGTGTGGTTTCTGGCTAGAGGCCTATTAGCTGCCCCGCTGTTAGCCGCATAGTCACAGGTACATACGTGTTGGGTTGTCGGTTGACAGGCCAGGTCACCTTCCGCTCTCCCTCAAACTCTTCCACTCACTATGTTGACATCTTAGCTGATGGCCGGTCATTCAGACCAAGCCCTGGAAGCATCTGGGCTCCTTTCTCTTTGTCTTAGAGACCACATGCAACCCTGACAGTTCTCCCTTCAAATTATACCCATATCCGACCAGTTCTCGCAGCCTCTTCTGCCCAGGATTACATCAAAGATTTGATGACTGGGTGTAGATCAAGGCCATCTCTACTTCTGCAGTGATGGAATCTACATTTTCATTGTTCAGTTCGGTAGCCACTGACTGTAAATGGCTATTGGGAGCTTGAAATGTGCACAGTGCAACTCACAAGCTGACTTTCTAATGTTACTAAAATTTAAATAGCCACATGTTGCTAGGCATTCCGGATTGGACAGTGCAACTCTTGCTAAGGAAATACCTGTTGAGTCCCACAGCATGGCAAGAATTTAGAAATTCTGGAATTTGAAGCAGGTAGGACCTGCTAATCTGGGAGGAAGAAGAAACGGGTCTCTGTGACAGATGAGGGCCCTGACAGTGACATGCAGGATGAATCCATCTGTGGGAACATGTCCACTGTACTCGCCATCAAATAAAAACAAAGTCAAAGGGATGGATTTTTCCGTATCCAGTTGGGGAAAGCAGGAGAGGCTGACGAAGGCCAGATTTGTTGCCACGTGAGGAGCGGACAGTGTCAGGACGCTGCTGGTGGGCAAGTGTGTGGGGCCAGCCTGGGTGGGGCCAGCCTGGATGGGGCCAGCCTGGAAGCAGGAGTTTGCTTTGGCTCCCCGAAATCTGAAATACGCACAGGTTCCTCATTCCATCGATGCCGCTTTTAGGAGTTTATCTATTAAAAATGCCGTAAGTGTAAAAATGGGGTAAAATGGCAAACAAAAGGTAAATTATGATGCCTACAATTGTCGAACACTAAATATTTGTGACATTTTTCAACTGTTGAATAATTTCTGTTCACAGAAGAAATCGTTCATGATATGTTGCTGAGCAAAAACTTAAAAATTAAAACCATGAAATGAATTCCCCATGTAAAACTCATTATGCGAGATGACTTAAATCAGAAAAAAAATAGGTATCAGAAACACCTATACCAAAATACCAGTCCAAGTAAATATACTGATCCGAGATGGCAGAATTAGTGATGATTACTCTTACTTTGTTTTATTCCTTTTTGTCTTCCACCATTTTTCACATTTTTTAGGTTTAGCACAGATTAACGACTGATTTTCAGTGGATTAGCTCTAATTAAAACTAACGTCCTTAACCACAGACCGCAGGGTTGGAAGGCGTAAGGCTCCTCCTCGCCACGAGGCCCTCCGTGGCTGGGTCCTGGCAGTCTCCCTCCCTTCCCTGTGCTCTGAGACGAGATTGGGAGTGACAGTCTTCGCCATCCATCCATACATAGTGATGCTTCAGTTAAAACTGGGCGTTAAGAATTATAAACTATGGCAATTATTGCAAGCCATTTTCAGTCAGCCATCGGTGCTGCCTGGGGGCGGGGCATTCGCTCCGTAGGGGAGGATGAGCCTTGAGAATTTCACTTCTCTTTCTTTTATTGCTATAAAGAGAAAGGGGAGTAGATAAACAGATGAAATTATTCCTTGTATTCTGTGGGTCAGAGTTGTCAAATGCCTAAGGATATACCTTGATTCATTGCCTATTAAATCCCATATTTTATTATGACAGGTACTATTATGCTTTGAAGAGTTATGTTTTATACAAATTGGTGCATAGACTAGCCTTCAGGAGACAGAACATGTTATGGGAAATAGGCTGACACATCAAAGAACTCAAAACTAGGAATAAAAAGGGAGAAAGGCTGAGTTCTGGTCCCAGTTACAGTACTTGATAACTCTGGGACCTTACACAATTTCTTTGTCAAAAATATGTAGATTATAATACTGGCACAGAGCCTGAATTCACATAATGCCAGTAAAATATTGGTGGAGATGCAAGGTCAAGGGTGGGTCTCCCACTGACCACAGGTGACTTTGCACACAGAATTGCCATTTTCCCTTCCTCTTACTTTTGCTCAGCCCCTGCCCCCATATCCCAAACCTCTCCTAGATAGAAGGGCTTGGCTTTCAGGTGATTTTACCTGACACAACATCTGCTCGTCTGTTTATTTACATCTATATAATTACGAAGCTTAATCAAATAAGAAACCCACATACGAAAGCAAGTTGAATACACAAATGTGCTTTATTATTTTCCTCCTGATCCTAACTCCCTAATTACTTACATCTGTGTCTTTCATCCTGTTGGTATCCATCACCTAAAATACTTTGAGCTATTTAGCCATGTTTGTATTTTGCCAAATTATATTTTAGTCCGATCCTTACTCTGCTCAAATTCTGCTTACTGTTATTATTTCCCCAAACCCTCCCATTTATTCTATGTTTGTAAGAGATTTATTTTCCCAATGCTATTCTAATCCCCATTGGTAGTATCATAAGGGACCTACTTCAAAGAATAAAAACAAAGAAAAACTAAGTGGGAATGTCCAATGGGAAAACAGATGACCACTTTTTTTACTATACATTTTAACGAAATTTCTGCAATGGAGCCTTTTTGGGTTTGTATAACCCTGAATTATTAACTGAATGTAGCTGGTAACATAGTGCTAGGGATGCTATGAAAATTATATCACTTATGGTAAAATCTGGGGAACACAGATGCAGTATAATAGGAAATACCTTTTAACATTCACACAGCGCTGGTTTCTAGAGGGACATGTAATAATACAATAGCTTTATGAAAGAAAATAACCTTTATTAACTCTCAGTCTTTTATATGGAGAGTGATTTTGTAGTGCCTTGGTAAAAATTGTCCTCAGTTAATTGTTATTTCCTTTGCTGATGAGCATTGCTAGATAATATATGTAACAAATACTTTGGTCTTATTTATTTGTTCAAGAAAGACAAAAGGAATAGAACAAAGCAACTTCTGAGAATCCCATTTTCAACCTGTACATGTGTGTCCTTTCATGAATTGGTCTGAAAGTTTCTCCTTTCTTTCGTAAATGAACTCGGACAAAATAAACTGGCCAATGAGCCTTGCCAACTTTAAGGAGCATGTGTCTGCCATAGGTCACAGAGTAAGAACTTGGTAAATATTTGTGGAGTAGGCTGATTATTTACTGTGTTTTAGAAAACCAACTGAGCTTGTTAATTGTGACATTTCTTAATCACTTATAAATTATTGACCATTTATTTTATGTGATCCATATAAGAAGGAGTCTAACAGGTTTATTTTTTATTTTTATTTTTTTTTGTGATGGAAATATACCAATGCACAAGTAATAAATTTACCCAAACAAATGAAATGGCAGGTCGGCTAGCGTATTTTTAAACTTAATACTTCTTTATCTCTTTACATTTTCTCATAATCTTACTTTCCTTTTCCTTCTCATTTCTTCCCCAACTTACCTCAAAGGCAAAACGCGAAGTTAGGAGTGTATTCTGGAATTAGTTAACAGTTGCTGTAACAGAAACCATTTTGTTTACATTCTCCTTCTGCCATGATGTGCTTTTTCTGTAGTTCGTAGTTTTCATTTTGCCTAAGCATACTGCTTGGTATTACCTGATAGTTATTGTCTGTTTACCGTGACAGCGTCCAGTTGCACTGAGCATGTCTTCTTGCGTTGCAGGAGCTATGCCTGTCCCCGACCAGCCTTCGTCAGCCTCAGAGAAGACCAGCTCCCTGAGCCCTGGCCTCACCACCTCCAATGGGGATGGCTCTGAAACAGAAACCACCTCTGCTATTCTCGCCTCGGTCAAAGAACAGGTAGAAACATTCCGCTTTTGTGACATTCTTCGGGGGCACTTACAAATTGCTTTTTACTGATGAATGATGATTAAATCATGTTGGAAAAATCGTGATTTACTAGCAAAATGTTGGTAATCGTTATCAAGTTAATATTAAGATATGATTATCATTGCTTTTGACTGCATGTTTTTTATTCATACTTTAGGCAGATTTTCTTGAAATAATATTCCATGGGGCAAAAAACAAACCAAAACAAAACGAAAAAACTTTACAGTCAAAATAACTGTTGGTAAAGTTTTGGCCGATTTGGTGATGAACCTGACTTTTAATACTATTAAATGCAGAAAGTCAAGTAATTGGTATTTAGAAAATATAAAGTCTAATACACTGTCAAAATATATCCACTAGGCTAAAAAGTTAGTATGTATGACAACTGAGGAATCTCATCTTGGGTCAAGGCAGGTTGGCTTTCCCATTGTTTTATAGATGGTTCTGGAAAAATGCATTACAGAATTTTCCTTTTAAAACTGATCAACAGTTTGAATGATTCCTCCTCCAATATTACTTGGCCGTAAAAATGGGTAAGTAAATAAAATCTGTAGTCTTAGATTTAAACAACTTGTATCTTAAGATTCATGTTTCTTATAAATAAAAGGTAGTAAATAATTATAGAAAGCTGGGAAACTCAATATTTTTTTATTCACCTATTCATTTAGCATGTTTTGAAATAGAAATCAGTAGTTTTTTTAAAAAAAGTGAAAAAGCATCCTGTTTTGGGGTAACATGATATGAGGATGTTGAGTTAGCAACAACAAAGGGTGAGAGCGAACCTAAGTCCAGGCACATCCCAACAGAGCAATATTCTAAGTGGGCCAATGACGGACAGTTACTTTAACTCAAAAAAAAAAAAAAAAAAAAAGATTTTCAAAAAAAAAAAAGATTCTCATTTTCCCCGAGTACACTGATTTTGTTTAATAAGTAGGGACTGGTTTAGGTAAAAGTAGGAAACGAGCTAGATGGCGAAACTATCAATAGACTCACTGAGGGAAGATCCATTAACAGAAGGGATCGATGTGCTACTCATCAAAAGTTTTTCACCTGGTCAGCAAGTGTACAGCTAAGTAGGTACACAAAGGAGTATTGAATAGCTTTATCTATGGATAATCTAGTTTGTGAAAATGGTCAGGAAGCAGGAGTTTGGGTTGAGGCACAGGCTGTACTGCTTGGTTAGTTTGCTTCCAAATGCTAACCTGAAAGAGTTTCCTGATTATTTTTAAGGAGTGATGGAAAAGGAGAGCGAAGATTCATGCCACTTCTCATACTCGAGATACTGCTTTGTTATAGTTGGCTGTGTCATGGTTTCCTATACCAAACTGTAATATGATTTGCAAGTCTTGCTAGGCCACTCAATTTAGAGTAGTGGCAAAATATAAAGCATGAGGCATAAATTTATGAAGAAATCTAGAAGACCTGTCTGATGAAAATGTTAACATTTTTTCAAAGACAAAATAATTCAGAGTAAATGAAAAGGCATGCCAGGGTCCTGTGTAGAAAAGCTGGGTATTATAACAATATTGCTGTCTCCCAAATTAATATATAAAATTTAGGCAGTTGTAATTAGGAAGCTGTGGCTGTTTGTTTGCTTCTTTAGCACATTGGATCACACTGCTTTAAAGGTCAGATGGCAGCATAAACATGTGACTGTTGCAAGGAAAATTTTGATAAAGATTTTACTTTACCAAATTTACCGATCGCGATAGTGTGCAATTGTCCCAATATAGAAAGAAAAATCTCTGTAGGACATAACTGAGGGTTCAGAACAGATTCAAATACATATAGGGGTTATATGTATTTGAAGTATTTCAGTTCAGTACAAAGCAGTGGTTTAAATGGTGTTAACATGACTGGCTTAATTACCATCTGGAAGAAAATGAAAGCACTTAACTCACAATATATACGGAAATAAATTTCAAAGGTAAAGCAATGTAAATAAAAATTAAAATATAAACATTTTAGAAGAAACATTGAGAAAATATTTATGTAAATTACAGGTGGGGTACCAACAATAATAACAAGGAAAAATTCAACATAAACAAGCAGAAAAATAGACAAGAGAAAATATGTGCCACAAATATGATAAAAATGTTGATATAATTAATATAGTAAGACTTCCCAACGTTGATGAGAAAAAGAGAAATCAAAGGATAGAAAACTAGGCAAAAAATATGAGCAGACAACTTACAAAAGAAAAATGCAAATTACCAATGAGTACATGGAAATGTTTTCACCCTAATGGACTGATCAGAGACCATAAAATTCAAAATGAATATATGACTTTCTTCAATGTACCAAATAAACGTTAAAAATAGCATATATTATAAGCTAGACAAGGGTAAAGTTTGAGGAATTTCACATTCTTTTTAATTCAGAATGGGAATTGCATTGCCGTAATCTTTTTGTAAAATTATATGTTGCTATGAATTGGTATTTGAAATGTTCAATAGCTTTTAATTAGTCATTCTTAGACATATGATCTATAGAAATGGATGACCTAGAACATAATAATTTTATATATGTGAGTGTTTATTGCAAAATTATTGGGGATAGAAAAAAATAAAACAGTGTTGATTAATGAAGAGTTGAAAAGATAATACATATTTTCTATGTGATTATTAATAAAAATGAGTTGGAGGTATATGGCTAACCTTTGAAAAAATTTATGAGTATTTTAGAAAGGAAATGACATAGTATTATATTATCCTGCTTTAAAAAATGAAAGAGTAAATACAGTTTTTGTTTGTACATGTTTATGAGCTTCCACAGACTTATAGAAGGAAATCGGTCAGACTCTTAGCATTGGTTATCCTATGTGTTTTAAATTAGGTGGAGGTGATAGTGGGCAGAGGATGTACAAGATTGGGAAAAAGAATTGGAAGACTGGAATAAATATTAGTAGGATAATAGAAATTATTCCTTCGGCTGAAATAGCGATGTCTGCAGTTGAGAGAATGGATAAGTTGCTTAAACAAAAATACATTTCTGAAAATAAAATGACCTCTCCAAATCCTTGATGAGAATTTAATAAAAACTTATTGTGAAGAGCTTTTTTCCTAATAATTAAAAGTAATTCATTGTTCATTTTTGGACAGCAAAGGTGAGATTCTTTGTGGCAGATATGGAATGTTGAGGAGGAATTAAAATCTATCCTGGGAAGCTGAGCGAGAGCAACTCGAAGCACTCGAATCAGAAGCGTAGGCGTCAGGTCCTCCGTGTGGACCTGCTCAGTGAGCAGCAAAGCCCACGGGCTCTCTCGCTAGGGCCTGGTGCAAACAACCAGTCTCTTCCTTCGCTGGGAGATTTTTGTCCTAAATCATTCTTAAGGCTTCCTTCCTTTCTTTTCCTCAGGTATAGACTCTCATCTTTAGAGTTAAAGCTAAGTTAAATATATTTTTAAGGACTATTAGCTGAGATTAAGGAAAAGTGACTTTATAAGTTACTATCCTCTATGATTCTTAATAATTATATGCATGATACTTTTATGACTCTATTCACTTAAAGAATATTGTTTGCCTGGTCCTCGTAGGTACTGAGAACTACCTTTCTTGAGTAAAGATGCTATTCATTAATTGAGAGAATTTCAAGTAAACATTTCTCGGCATCACACTTACATATTACTCTAGTTCTGCCTCTTTAGAGGTCAGTTTTGCAGGACAGAAGTCATCCCTTGTCATAGCAAACATGTATCGTGACTGCTGTGTAATAGACTGCCTAATATGTTTGCTCATTCATTAAACATACTGAGCACCTTGTATAGGCAAAGCACAATAAAGGGTAATAAAGGAAATGTATATATAAAAAAACTCAGTCCGACAGAGTTAATTGGAATAAGTTGTTAATGAGACTTAAGAACACAAATTCTTAGTTAACATTGCATGGAAAGAAAATGTAGTTTATAACCATACGATGAAACTTAAATAATGCCCAAACCTGTCATGAAATATATCCCAATAGCATTCTATGGCATGACTAAGGGATTTGTGAGCTGAGCCTTAGTATCCTTGAACACGCCAGCTATGGGTTGCTCAATGAAAAGGTGTTCATTGATTTTTTTTCTCTGCTGTAATTTCCTATGTTGATTGCTTTTTGACTGGGGAATTTACGCTTTTATATCAATATAACTAGAACCATGATTCATGCTACACTCTGTGGGTAATTTTCAGTATTTCAGACACATCTCATTCCCAACAGTTATTAAGTTTCTCCTCCAATGGGGTTTAAGAGAGAGACATCCAGTCCCCATTTCTGTGAGTGAGTGTCCTTCACCAGAAAGGAAGGGGAGGACAAAAGGCGGGCTTATGATATCCTGGTTGTATTATCTGGACAAATAACAGAGAGGCAATTAATAACCATTCATCATAAAGAAGAGCCAAAATGATGTGGAGGCTTAAACGTTGAGATGGGTTAAGGAATTTTTTTGAAGAATGGGGGATATTCCTTTGATGATGGCAATGACTAATAAGAGGAGAAATTAATGATGCTTAGGAGGGGATAATTTTAGATGAAAAGTCACTGAGTTGGTGGGAGTGATCTTGTCCCCCAGTATGCTAGTGGAGAGAATGGCTTCTGGAACAAAGACAATCAGAACAGGAGTGAGTCAAAGTACAAGTCATGGTCGAAGGAAGTCTGATGGCTTGGTGCTGGAAATGTGTGGTATTTCTCTTCTGCTGTCATCAGATAGGGACAGCCAGCTTGTTCTGAGTTGGAGGCTGTGTGGAGAGAGTTGGACTGAGCCAAGATGGAGAAGGGGAGGCACTGGAGGTGATGGACCCAAGAGAGTGATCGTAATGGTAGATCTTGGAATTGACAGTGAATGAAGGACAAAGGGTAAAGACAGAAAAACTGGTAGAGACCATGGATTGACAGAATGAATATGTATAGATGGTGATAGCTTGAGAACCATGTGCTTGAAACCAAAAATTTAAAAGTAACTATTGTTAATGCTAGTAAGTTATGACTCT